CTTGTTGATCCGCGATTGAATGTCCGTATTGCTGCCCACGAGATGGCACACGCCCTGGGATTCAATATCCCCTCAATGAAACAGAAGGGTGTGTTGACCCAAGCCAATATCCGTGGCAAGAATCGTATGGTGGTGAGTTCCAAGATGACGAAGGAAAAGGCGCAGGGGCACTACGGTTGCCCTAGTCTCCCGGGTATGGAGCTGGATAACGATGATGAGACTGATGATAACGGAATACATCCCCACTGGACGCGGCGTGTCGCGCACGACGAGTTAATGGCCCCGAGAGAAGAAGAAGGGGTCGAAATATACTATACAGCATTAACAATGCCTTTTAGGACCTGGGTTGCCTATAAGTAAATCTATCGATCTCGTGGCGCAATGGAAGCGCATCAGACTTCGGATCTGAGGGTTGCAGGTTCGAGTCCTGCCGGGATCGTGTTTTACTTTTCCAGAACCTCCGCCACCCCCACTACGGGAAACAATGTTACCCCGTCTCACTTCGCCTAAAGCAAAACCTCATCCGTTTGCCTGCAGTATATGTAAACGAACATTTCCGCTTCAAAATGGATTAACGCGCTACCTTAGATACATGCACAACGTCACATGCCCTGTCCCAGAGAGAAAACGCCCGCGAGCCGACGAACCGATCCCAGAGGAATCAGCGTTCCCCTGTGACAAATGTGATATGGTAGCGCGATCTAAAACAGGTCTCATAAGCCCATATTAGAGCGAAACATCCTGAGAACCCCAAAAAAGGACGCACCTCGCCCTCAGCTCATCCCACAGCCTGCTTCACTACGATGCGAATTCTGCCTACGCGACTTTGGCAACATTGGTGGTCTCGCCTGCCACAAAAAGTTTAAACATCCTCCTGGAACCCCAATTTTGCCAGCAACAATACAGGTAACGTTTCCGCGCAATAAGAAACGCCCGCGAGATACGTCGCCACCGGAGCGTGAGGACAGAGAAAAAGTCCAATGCGGAGTCTGCCAAAAGTTCTACGCCCACCTAGACTCCCTCGTAATACACTGCGGAAAATTCCATGAAGGGCAAGGTATGCCTACAAAAAACGAATTCCACCCCAACGCACGATACAAGAAAACGAAAACAAGAGATCTTCCGGCATTAGTCTGTCCCACATGCGGTCAATGTGTATGAGTAAATCAGGCCTAACTCTACACCGAATGTCACGTCACGGGTATCAACCTATTCGCGCGCACACCAGCCAACGCGACGAATGCGACGAAACAGCTCTGCATCTCTTGAGTTGCCCCGCTCTTCATCCACTGCGAGTTCAATTTGCGATTGTTGATGATGTACCCCTGATGAAACTATGTTTTTCTAAGCGGTTAGCACAGTTCCTTATTGCGGTGGGGCGGAACTACACTATGCCACAGACTTCACAACCAAGAGAAACCCTACGCAGCCTACCTCCCCCTCTGTAAGGCCTCCCCACCTCTCTAAAATCAGCGACGAGCACGAATATGGAAACCTTGATAGAAGAGTACGCTCAAGACGTCTGTCGCCGACCNATCGTATGGTGGTGAGTTCTGAGTTGACGAAAGAGAAGGTGAAGGAACACTACGGTTGCTCTGATCTGGAGGGTATGGAACTGGATAACGATATCAATGCCCGGCCGGTAGGGCACTGGGTCGGGCGCATTGCGAAGGACGAATTGATGGCAGTGCCAAGAGAATCTGGTGCCGGCTACTATACAGCACTGACAATGTCAACATTTGAGAGTCTGGGGTACTACAAGGCAAACTGGGGAATGGAAGAGCCAATGGGCTGGGGCAATCGGAGTGGATGTGACTTTCTCAAAGGAAATTGCAAGAAGGATAACAAGCTACT